TATCAAAAGAAAAGACCTTTATGTCTTTTGGTGGTTAAGTTAAGCACCGGTCATGCCGGTCTCTCCCCCGACTTACACCAACTATGGATAAATCCGGGTTCCCACAGTGCCAATTTTCATGGAAAGAGCGGGCTGACATTATTCCCTCTGAAGGAAATGTGAGGAATAGAGTTTTACAACTGAACTTCACTGTGCTCACCAGGCAATGTATCCCTGGTGGAGGTTCCTGGATTACAGCATATTGAGAACAGGCTCCTACCTGCTAATAATAAACTCATCTCCTATGTTTGGCTTCAAAAAGAAAAGCGTTCTCTGGCACTAGTCATTGATGGAGAGAATAGAGTTTGTTTTCACAGTACTGATCCCGATTTCCTTCCCATGCACTTCCTGAGAAAGCCAGGTAAGGGTGTGGCTTCAAGCGCAGACATAAGCCATCTCAGACTCAGCGGAACAGCGGAACATAACAGACTCAGCCCTTCCTCCTGTTGAGACACTGAGTCTCAGGGAAAAAAAAAAAAAAAAAAAAAAAAAGAAAGAAACAGAAACCCGCTCCAACCCCTGATATAGCGTTTTCACAGAATACTTTCTACAGTGTCGCTCATGTAGCCAACCCTCTTATAAAAATGCCAGCGTCGTGAAGTCTGAGCCTCAATCTTCCAATCGAGTATCTCGGGGTGCTTTGTCAACGTTCACTACATAAGCAGCCTGTGTTAAGCATCCCGCTCTTCAAGGTGGCGTCAGCAATAACCACAACCCCGACCCCAGCGCCAGTGAGTGCGTGCTGAGATGGACAGCGCCTCGCTGTCGCAACCCCACGAACCAGCTCCCCAGCTTTTCTCCTTAGGACTTTTATGAACTTCAAGTTCAACCGCCATGTTTAATGGATTCTAAGATGCCTGTTTTGTTTTGTTTTGTTTTTTGTTTTTGTTTTTATTTTTTTCACGTTTTAACATCTCTGAGCTAGGAGTGTACCTTACAACCCCAGCGGCAATGTTTTATTTCTCAATGGAGTTTGCGACGATGGCACGTGGAACAACCAGTTGGGATCTGATGAAAGTAGCAAATCTTAACTATACCTGTGAAGAAGCGCGAGGAATAAGCACAACGTAAAACGCCCAAGTGGGGTGGGAGATAATACACCCTCAGCAAACGCTGAGTTGCTTTCTCCTTAATGTGCATTTACAAAGCGCATTTGTTCCAGAACAGAAAACAGGGACCAAACTCTGCCAGGCCCTCCTGGACATCGAGTGCAGAGCCGAGTGACACCCATCCCTCCTTCCAAGACCCTGAAAGAAGCAAAGGCCTAGGGACAAAATGGGATGAGCCTAAAGTCACACCATGAGTAGCAGAAACAAAATTCCATCTCAATCCACCGGGTGGGCAGAGTCTAACTGCAGAGTCTATCAGTCCCTTCCACTGGTTCTTAGGAAGTCACAGTTAGAGCTAAAGCACCTGCCCTCAAATGGGATACTAGAGCCTCATTTCTGCACCTTTAATATCCCAGAACAGTCTGAGGTTTCTGAAAAGCTTGCTGCTGAGCAAAGGAAAACATGATTTTTGTAGTCCAAAGCTTAAGGAGCACTTGACATGAAATGGCAAAAAAGGCTTGTAGGAAAAACAGGGAAAGTGGGGCCAGGGAGATGGCTCAGTGGAATAAACGCTTCCCTGGCAAATGCAAGGGCCTGAGTTCAATCCCCGGTTCTGCGCAAAAAAAAAGAAAAAGAAGAAAAGAAAAACAAGGAAAGGGAGAAAGACCACAATGTAGTCTTGGTAGAAACTTCAGTCTGTTTTGTAAATGACTTTGAAGAGGACAAATACATATCTGTTCTGGTTCTCTGTGTACTTTTAGGGTGGGCCAGGCACAACTTCCTTTTGAAGCCGTCCTATAATTCCTTGTGCACATTTTTGTGATTCGCTTGTTGCCTGACCTATAATTATTTGCACATGGGTTTCCAGTCTAGCCAGTGGGTGGGTGAAAGACAGGGATCACCTTTCCTCTTTACCTGGTCCCAGGCACACGGCGGGGACTCGAGCGAAACCTGCTGATGAATTGAATGAAACGTGGAATACGACAATAAGCAGAACTGCCTGACATGTCAGTGAATAACTCACGCTATTCATAGACACAGCCGCCTTGCACACACCGACAGCCTTTAACACGAATGCACTCAGGCCAGTGCATGTCAGCAACCCCTTTACAAGGCCCTCTTCTCGCCACCCCAGAACTGCCCCAGAGTCCACAGTCACACCCAGCAAAGAAGGAACAAGACCTTAAACGACCTTCCTGCTGCAGTGACAACAGAGGGCAGAGCCCAATGCACGCTGAGCTACCTCTTAGGGTTCTGATCCTTAGGGACTGGGACAATCACCTCTCCTCAGAGTGACCAACCTGAAAACTAAAGACAAATTTCAACATACAAAGAGCCAGTGGCCACAGGCACAGCTAGTATGTGCCTCGACACGCCCTCACTGTGTGATATTTCTGAAAATAGCTGACCTCAGAAAGACTCATAGATAAGAACAGCTGCATCTTGCAGCTGTAAGCAGGAAAATCAGGGGGTGCATGCGGTCACTTCTGGAGCCCAAACCAGAGCACTATTCTTGCCTGTTCTCCAAGTGGATATGGAAAGCAAGGTCATCCAGTCTCCAACACAAAGGCCACTGTGAGAGAGGATGGAGAGGGAGAGAGGGTAAAAAAGATGACAAAAGTCTCCCACAAGGTCCAGGAAGACAGCACATCCCTTAACTACATCCTACAGCCTACCAGTCAACACCACCACCACCCACAGTGAACACTGAACAGTAAACCTCCGAGGGCTTCCCAGGGGTCACACAATCCTCATTTCCAAAGCAGCACAGGTACCGAGTTTCTCCCACTCAGTCATGGAGAAACTGAGACAGAGAGATCAGGGTTCCCACAGTGGTGGTCCCTAGGTCAGGAATTGAACCTGGCACCTGTCTGCATGGCCCTCTTCCAGTGCTGGAAGCCAGAAGGCCTTCACCTCAGCTTTGGGCTCACACCCTTAGCCTCTCCTGTGTGAGCCCTCGGTCTCTCCTGTGTGCGTCCTTGACTGGAACGAGTCTGTTTTCCTCCTCTTTGCACTGCCCAGAGTGTCTGGCATAACAGTGTGCGCATCATTTGTTACATAACATAGATTTAAAAATAAAATCATCTCATTTCCTTTGCTGTTTAGCAGGAAAAACTTAAACTCAGGTACTAGAGGACTAAAAGAAAATAACTAGCACTAAACTTCTATTTCCAGTTATTCTTCAAAGACTTATGATGAAATAATACAATCTACTTATTTTCTAGACAGAGAATAGGGTTTACTGGCATACACCTGCACTGAGAAGTCTTCAGGCAAAAGAATAATGATGTTAGGTAGAAGCTGAAGCTGCAGAAGATACAAAAGCAACAACAGAAAAGACCAACATGCAGGTGAATCTGCATACGTTCTCGCTGTGCAAGACCTTTAAAACATGCCTTGAAGATATTAAATGTGCAGCACTGAAGCTTATGCATGGCAACCAAGTGAAATTCAGGAGAAGGAAAACTAGGATCTCAGTCTTCTCAGGTGGTTATAGTATCTGAAAAATGCTAAAAACTCAATATTTAGAACATACCGCCTAATTTAAGAACGCATGTTGTAATCTCTAGGGTTCCATGAAAAGTAAATTATACAATGTGTAATTAGCAAGCTAATGGGGGACACATAGAATAGAAAATACTTGATCAATCCAAAAGAAGACTTGATTTAAAGAGGGGGTGGGGTAGGAGACAGAAATAGAAGAGGGAAAAGAGAACAGGCCAAATAGAAAACAGCAGATTGGTAGATTTAAATTCAAATGTGAGTAGTCACACCCATGCTGAAATCTTGTAAATGACCAAACTATCAGACTAGAGGTAAGGAAAAAACCTTAAGCGTGTGCTCATTACAAAAGGCAGTCTTTAAATAAAGACGCAGGAACTCCAAGTCAAAAGACAAGGCCAGCCAAATAGCTCAGCAGATTAAAGCACCTGCAAGCAGGCACAGGGGCTGGGGTTGGATCTCCAGGCCTTCCTTGCCAGCCCCACCCCCTGGGGCACGCTGAGATGGCGATTGAGACTGGGCATGGTGATGCATGCCTGTAATCCCAGCCATTGGGAGGCTGTAAACAGGCGGATCACTATGAGTTTGATCTAATAGTGAGACCCTGAACACCCTGTAGACCCTTCCCTAAAATTAAAAAAAAAAAAAAGACAAAAAAGAAGGGTTGGAAGGAGAGGGAGAGAAGGAGTGTAGCAATGGGGAGCAGCAGTAAGACCTAACATGTACAGATACAAATTCCCTGTGATGAATAGATATATATTCATGAATAGATATATTCCCTGTTATCGATAGATAGATAGATAGATAGATAGATAGATAGATAGATATAATGTACCAATAAATTTTCTTTCAAAGATAGACATAACACATAACTTGAAATGCTGTGCTGGGTTTTCATGTTCTTTTTGACAGCTTTGGCCAAAATCGTAGCAACTTTCACCTATCCCCTCTCCACTCTAGTGCTCCTGAATGCCCATGTCCCTGGAAGAAGATTCACCATCCGGGGAGGCTGCAGGGATTGAGTTTAAATGTTGAATTTAAGACACAAAACTGCCTGAAAAAAAACCCCACATCTTCAGATCTTAGATAAGGACACATTGAGCCTCTGGATGTGTTTGGTTCCCCAATGGCTCACCAGCCACCATAATTATCATTGGCCAGCTGTTCTGGACAGAGGTAAGAAGATGACCAGGGATATATAGCTCAGTGACATGAGCATCCACGTGCCAAGAGCAAGGTCCTTAGTTTAATCCCCACTGTGGGGTGGGGGTGGGGGGCCCATTAACTCCCAGGACCCTAGTAACCTTTTCCGAGGAGCAGCAGGCTACCCACACCTACACCTAGGTTCAGCTGTCTCGCCCCGCAGCCCATGTCTGAATGTGAGCAGAGACCGCGGCCCGAACCCCATACCTGAGTGGTGTCCTCCATGAGCCCCCGGATTTTCTCCACTACGTCGTTGCGCCGGTGCTGCCGCAGGGCGCTGATGAGCTGTGCCAGGCTGGCCTCGGGGCCGCGCACCGTCCAGTGCTGTAGCGCGGCATAAGCCCGCTCATGGTCCGCCGTGTACCCGTTGGAGAAGGCGGCCACCTCCCTCTCGCTGGCATTGCACAGGAATTGGTAGATGTCCTTCCACTGGCTCCCCACCTGGGCTGCCACCAGCTTCAGGATGTCAATCCCTGCGCAGGCGCAAAGGGACAGAAAGACAAACACAGGAACTAGCGTGAGAAGGAAGGAACTTCCCCGCTGTCCCCGGCCAGGGTCCCGTGCAGACTCCGCTTCCAGGGCTGCAGGCTGCGTGTGTGGGTCCAGCCCTCGCCGAACCCGGCACAGGCTCTGGGTTCATGGTCAGAACTCAAAAGAAGCAAACAAGCAAAACCAGGGTGATAATTTCAAATTTTTTCACTTCCTGATCGCAGCTGCGGAAGACCACATTGTTCTTGCAAGTACAATACATCAACCCCAAAAGAAGTTTTGAAAGCCAAACCAAAGAAAGGGAATCAGAGTGAATCCTTTGTTATTTCTGAATACAACTGTAACCACATAAATTAGAAGCTCCAAGACTAAAAAAAGGGGCGACTTCATGAAATAGAGAAAAATAAAAGCCACAGATTAACACTGCCACAGACTTCCTCTCCGTAAAGGACATGTGGACTCTGAGACCTGTGTTCATCACTCAGCCAACTGGGGTCTGGCCCAATGGAAGCATTCTTTCAGAACATCTAAATTCTTGACTCTTAATTCTATTCTCAAAAAGTCATTTTCTGGGCTATTATTCAGCTTTCTAAATTGACTTACATAGTTATAATGAACACAACAGCCAGAGTGACAAAGTAACAATAGCTGTCACCTTACAGGCATTATGTTACAGTATCATCTCCTGAATATCTTTATAAAAGCATTAACATTTCAATTGCACAGGTAAGATACACGCGGGCATGCACACGCACGCACACACACACACACACACACACACACACACTCTGGAAAGTCACGCTGCAGCCCAATAGCACAAAGTAGGTGATTTGGGTGTTGAATTTAAACTCCCACAGGCGGTCTGGCCAAATAGCTCAGCAGATTAAAGCACCTGCAAGTAGGCGCAGGGACCAGGGGTTCGATCCCCCGGCCTGCCGTGACGCCCCCACCCCCGGGGCGTGCTGAGACAGCAATTGAGGCTGGGTGTGGTGGCGCGCGCCTGTAATCCCAGCTCTTGGGAGGCTGTAAACAGGAGAATCACTACACGTCCGATCTAATAGTGAGACCCTGAACACCCTGCAGACCTTTCCCTAAACTCCCACAGATATAACCACTACGACATGCATGGGCACTTACCATTCATTCCTCTCTTCTTGCCAAGACATGGCAGAGCAGCAAACAGTATCTGACCTCACAACCTAATCTAACCGCTTTTCCACCCTGATGAGGACCTCAATTTCTGCAGTATGAGACGCAACAGGAAAGCAACAGGCACTTTTTCCTTCCTCTCAGCTTCACAGACGATGCACTCTCACCATGGATTTTAGCAACCCCAGCCTAGGGCTTTGTCTTTACTAAGTCGAGATGTTCACCCCTACACTGAGACAAGCCACTTCCTGACTTCTCTCTGGCATATCTGAGCAGCCAACCTGCTGCTCCTGCACACTGGAACCATTAAGAGGTAAAATGGGCCGACACGATCACACCTGCTCCACACAGCAGGAGTCACAAACTGACAACCAGGTCAGCTGCAAAGCAATCGATGGTAGGGAGCACACAGTATGGGCACCCCAGACAGAGGGGAGACTGGAGGTTGGAGCGGGGACAGGAGACTTTCTCAGCAGAGCATGCACATCAAAACTTAGCAATTGCTAATTCCTTCGATTTTCCACTGACCTTTTTGGACCTTGGTTTACCATGGGTAACTGAAGCCACAAGCAGTAGAAGTGTGGGCTGATGGGGCGCCGGTGGTCATGATGTCTTGCCATCTCCTGAAAACCCTGTGAGGTCTGCACAGCAACTGCTGAGGAACAGTAGCCACGGCCCTACGCTATCCCATGGCCATGGACCTCAACAAGGGCCACAAGGTTACTAAGAATGTGGGCAAACCGAGGCACAGCCACCATCGAGGATGCCTCACCAAGCACACCAGGTTTGTGCGAGACATGATCTGGGTGGTGTGCAGTTGCCCCCTATGAGCGGCGCGCCATGGAGCTGCTCAAGGTCTCCAGGGACAAACGCACCCTCAAGTTCATCAAGAAAAGGATGGGGATGCACCTCCATGCCAAGAGGAAGCATACAGAGATGAGCAACGTGCTGGCTGCCATGAGGAAGGCAGCTGCCAAGAAGGACTGAGCCCCTCTAGAATAAAGCTTTGCAGAAAAAAATAAAAAAGTAACAAATAAAAACCGTGTGAGCAGCAGCTGGTACGTGAAACACACAAGACGCCAGGATCCAAGCTCAGGTGCACATAGTTGGTTGGGCGGGGTCCCTGAGGAGCAGGCAGGTAGCCCCTTCCCATTGCACTTCCTGGGTGCACGCATAACACTCAGGTGGGCTCTGGTGTGCCACATCCCTAGGTGACAAAGTCCTCTGAACCAGTATCACATCTTTCATGTGCCCACATTTGCATCCCATCACCAGCGTTCTTGTTACCAATGTCTTAAAAATATTTACTACTAATTTTTTTTTGGATACAGGGTCCACTACACAGCTCAGACTCAAAGTGATCCTCCTGTCTCAGCCTTCCCTGAGTTGGGATTACAGGCGTGTACCACCACACCTGGTTTTGGGGTCTGCACTGCTTGTGGAACTGGGGATCGAACTTGGGTCTTTGTGCTTGCCTAGCAGGTGCTTAGACAGCTGAGCTATCCCCCAGCCTGTACTATTAAATTTTTGTTTAAAAAAAAAAAAAAAGTGAGGGGATCAGGTTCCCAATGGAGAGAGAAGAAAACAGAAGAATATAGAAGAGTTTACTATTATGAATTTAATTTTCTGTTAAGTCGAGGTCAACCAGAAAAAACACTGGGGGGGCTCTAATCAGTTGTTGAGAAGCTTTCTATAAATGAGCTACCCATTCCTCCCTAAGAACAATAGTACAGACGCCCTGTGAAGGTGAGGAGCACAGTGGAACCCTGTCCGTACATCCCGGCATGGCTGCACAATCTTCTGCAGGTGGATGAGTTGAAGCACTGCCTGTATACACATCCTAAGCCAACCCTTTCAAAATCGCTTTCGAAGACCAAGCTCCTAGCAGAAGGCTGCATTCTCACCAACTGTGAAAGTACAACACTTCGAAAAAGCTAAAACTGAAAACGAAACTTAGAACCCTGCAACGGGAGACGTGGCGGTGGCCCTCGCTGTTTCCCTGGCAGCACATGAAGGCCTTGAACCAGCCACTCTTCCCTGTCCACCGCCACGCTCAGGCACAAGCGGGACTTGTTTGATCTCAGGCACTCAGACTCCTGAAAAACCTGAGTCCTATTTAAAACCCTGCAGGTAAGTGTAAGGAGAAAGCCAGAGATTTGTGGTTGATGCGGTCCACGCTTCCAAACACTGAAAGGCTTGTTAGTCCTTGAGTTTTAATTTAGGTCAATTTGATGAAGGCCCACAGTGCCTCCCATGAAAACATGCCTTTCTTTCTTAGTAGAACCGCTGCTTATGTCTCCAAAATGCCCACGCCAGTGCGGCTTGGAGGAAACCACAGACTGTCACATCCATTTCCTTTCTGCACAATGGTGACACTCGGGATGGTCCTGGGCGGTGACTGATTAACACTTGCTACAGACTCAGTTTATTTTTGGAAGCCCCACCACTGCCATGCACACTATTACTGCTCTGTACGACCGAAGCTCCATGCATCGCAGATGCACACGTGCAGTCTTCAGATAGTACTCAGAGACAAAAGGCTCCACGACCGCTCCTTCTTCTACAACCAAGTTTTTGTTCTTTTTTTTTTTTTTTTTTTTGTATTTTAGGAAAGGGTCTACAGGGTGTTCAGGGTCTCACTACTAGATCAGACTTGTAATGATCCGCCTGTTTACACTATAACTGGGATTACAAACACGTGCCACCACGCCCAGTCTTAATTGTCATCTCAGGGCACCCCAGGGGCAGGGCCAGCACAGCAGACCCGGGGATCAAACCCCTGGCCCCCATGCCTGCTTGCAGGCCCTTTAATCCACTGAGTTATTTGGCCAGCCCCATTTAGACTTTTTTGAAGCCACAAAAAAAAAAAAAAAAAAAAAAAAGGAAAAGGAAAAGAGACACAAAAGTGTGGATACAGTGAGATTTGTCTTCAACCCAAACAGGCTAGGAACTCAATGTAGAGCCTGAAAATTAGATTCCATTCTATCCTCATCCCAAGCCAATCACCCACTGATCTGCAGCGGGCGACTCAGTGCCACAGCACACACACCTCCCTCGGGAGAAGCCAGCCTTCAGCCCAGCACTGTCACAACCCCCGTGAGGAGGAGTCATGAGAGTCACTGAGCTGACTGCACCTTGCTCCCACCCCACCCCACTGCACCACCCAAAGAAGAAGAAAGCCTTTGGGATTTCAGGAACGTTCCTCTGTCAGCATCAGTGGCTGCGGCCTTGAGCTGTATTTGCTGGGTGGAAAGCCCCTGTGAAATCGAAAGGCAGCAAGAGTTCATTGCCAAGGAAACACAGATCTGCCGAACTCTGAAGGCACCTCCTGTTTGTTTGTTCAGTGCTAGATAAAAAGAAATAACACTACTGTGGAAAAAAAGAGGTGGGGTCCTGAAGAAAGGAGACAGCTATCTCTGGGGCTAGAGGAACAAAAGGACTCATAGTTCTTCACAAAGCCCTGCCTGCATCCTGGGCCCCATGGTGGGAGGTGGGTCTCCTTGTTTGGCTCCACTTGGTATTTATCTTGTTATTCCTCTTAAAAGTATAGACCTGACTTGCACATATAAAACATGTATCACTGCCAAGCTCATGGGTTTTATACTGTAGATCCAAGTAAGAGCAGATCAAAAAGGGGGAGGGGTCATTGTCTCTGCACTGAACATGTACAGATTCTCGGTCCTTATTCTTCAAACAATACAGTGCAGCCATCTGCACAGCGTTCACCTTGCAGAAGGTGTGAGAGTAACGTAGAGATGGCCTGAAGTACATGAGGAGATGTGTGGAAGTTACACACAAATCTGGGCCATTTTTCCTAAAGGGCTTGAGCTGACTT